ATGCTACCGCTGCGTGGTCCCCTAACTGAGTAGTGTCGTTCTGGTTGTAGTTAAGGTAACATCCCTAATATATGTGCCTTGCCTTGTGGAATTCGCGTTGGTACCTTGTTTGAAAAGTTTCAAATTGGTAATGTTCAAATTTCAGTCCATTACAGCATGTACATTAAACGGCTTGAAATCGATGGCTTTAAGTCCTACTCGAAATTACAAGTAATTGATGGATTTGATACTCAATTCAACGCAATAACTGGTAAGTTACTTTTCCCACAATCTTTTTCCGAAGAGCAATGTCAGTTTTCTGTCAAGGTGATAGGATCATATGCGTTTCGTCTTTTAGCCATTGCTTTCTTTCATAGTTTAGCTCAGGTTTTATTCCAAAATCTAAACAATGAAATAGCTGGCTTAAGCCCTACATACAGCCATTTGTATGCTATTCGTGTTTTTTCAACTCTTTGTTTCCAAATTGTCTAGAATCGGCCATAGGAAAACCTCGGCGAACTTTCCTAGTTTTGGTAACCAATATACACTTATACTCGGTTCCTTTATTATGGGAATGAGTATGTTAGAAAGGTACAAACACATACACCTTCTGATCAGGCATCTGTATCCCGAAGTTTCAGTTGCATTTAGTGCACTTCAAACAGGGTAGATCAGCTTATGAGGGTCCCAGAGCTTCGCTACGGCAATGTTAGCGAAGGAGAGCTGGGAAGTATAAATGGACGAAGTTATGTAGTTATTTTTGGGATAGCGATGTCAATGGTGGTGTTGGTTTTGTTAAGCCAGTACAATATGCCTTCTTTGAAGTCTTGAGGTTTCTATAAGCGAAAAGATAGTTGAACAACGTGGTGATGGGAATAGATGTTCAAGCTCTTATAAGTATGAATTGTAGACCTTAAAAAGGCTGCAGAGTCGACTGTTTATCAAATGTTTTGAATAGCTTCGGAAGAAGATTTTTGAAGTCATTCTGTTTTGAATAGCTTCGGAAGAGGATTTTTGAAGTCATTAGTAATTTTAAGTATGGTTTTTTTTCCTCAGAGTCGCTCATCATCAACGTTTTCCTTTCTATTTCCATGCATTTATGTCCAACATGAGTCACAGAGCAGCCCTTCTGCTTTTTTTAGGTTTGAATGGCACTGGTAAATCAAATATTTTGGACTCGATCTGCTTCGTGCTGGGAATTACGAACCTACAGCACATCAGAGCAGGTTTGTCTTGCTTTCTGTCTATTTCAATGTTAAAAGCTGGTTCAATATTATCGCTAGATCGCGGGGTTCTCGAATAGTTTTTTGTAAAACATCATTCGAGCTGGTATTGTTTTAATTACCTAATTTTCAGGCCAACTTCATGACTTGGTGTACAAGCAAGGACAGGCAGGTATCAACAAAGCAACGGTGACGATAACCTTTGATAACAGAGACAAGAGACACGGCCCAATAGGATACCATCACTGCGATGAAATAGTCATTCGACGACAAGTAGGCTCAAATTCCTTTACCCTGTATTGGCGTTAGATGGACTGTCTTTCCAGATCATTGTCAATGGACGAAACTCGTACACCATTAATGGGAGCACTGCTACAAATGCGAAGGTGTTTTTTTGTAGTTAAGACTCTAGCTTATTACATGAGTGCTTTCAAGTCGCACATGATTTCAGTACCTTTTTTTAGGTCTCCGATTTCTTTCGTAGTGTCGTCGGTCTCAATGTGAACAACCCTCACTTCCTTATAATGCAGGGGCGAATCACTAAAGTACTCAACATGAAGCCTCACGAGGTAATATTGTGTCACACACGATGCAGCAGTCCCAAATTTCATGAAAGTTTACATTGTGTAAACACCTTTGGGCTTCCAGATTCTGGGCATGATCGAAGAAGCTGCTGGCACAAAACTTTATGAAGCAAAACGAACTCTGGCTTTGAATACGATCCATAAAAAGCAGTTGACGAAATTGAAAAGGCATGCTTCCTGTTTTACTATTAGTTCATTCCCGCCACGCCACATTATTATGTTATCTTTTTATAGCTTATGGCGGAGGATATTCTTCCTCAGCTAGAGAAACTCCAAAGAGACAAGCAGAACTTTTTGGAATACAACAACTGTGATCGCGAAATAGAGCGCCGAGAACGGAAGCTCACAGCTTTCACATACTACATGTCTTTGGTATTTTCTTGTCTTACCTTTTCCTATCTCTTTAGCGTTTTTCTTTGGAATATTTTCTATTTCTTTAGATGAATTCTGAGAAGTGTGAACAACTTGCTGTGGAGAAAGCAGAAGAAATCAAGTCATTGGAAGGTGAATTAAAGGAAATTGAAGCAGTACTTGAATCACAACAAGAGGATCTTACTCGCGTGGAGGATGCCAAGAAAAGGGTGGGTCAATCTTATTCATCTATGATTCCCTGTAAATGTTGTTGTACTTGTTCTTATTATTGTATAGACACCTCACGCTAACTCTTTAGCGTCATGCAGAAGCGTTTTCTGCGTTGGAAGGCAATGTCGCTGAAGAGCTTGCAAGAATTGAAGCGTGCGACGAGGAGAAACGTGAGTGTAAGGAGTCATTCGGAGAAATTCTAACAGAATACGAAGAAAAACGGAAGTCCTTGAACAACGTGAGTTATCTCAACGCATGCATAAGTTCTTTCATTTTCATTTCTTGTTTGACAATAATAGGCTTTGGTTCTTCAAGTTATTCGTTTAAGTTGGTTAATTGTTCGGTTTCCGTGGATAATGTTCTCGACCAACGGGAGGAATGTTGTGGATGAACCGAAGAATTCGGTTGCAGCTTAAAGGCACCCATTCTCATCCGAATTGTAATGATAAAACAACCAGCGCGTTTGCATTGGGGATGGGGGTCGTAGTCGTTGAATGGTATTGCTGGCACTGGTATTTTTAGTGAGTGAATCGCTCTGATCCGAATTCGCCTTATTTCGCAAATAATCAGTAAATAATCCGTGACCATGAATGCGGTGTGACCTCTATGATTCGTTCTGGTGTGAATGATGGGAAAGAGTGTCTCAATATATTCACAAACTCTAACATGTACCTCCTTGTGTCGTCCTTTGTTGAAACCTCGGCATTTGATGTTGAGTGTACTGCAATTGTTTTTGTACTGTACGCCACAACGAGGTTTTTAAGATGGAATCTTTATTTACTGGCCTTACGTTTCGACCGCTTCGTCTTCTTCAGAGGCCTGGAGATTGTCTGAAGCTTTTGATTCGTAAGCTACTTCGATCAACCACGGTAAGGCCAGTAATGAGATTCGGATCTTAAAAACCTCGTTGTGGCGTAAGAGTATCTCAATACTTTCATAAATAGTGTTTTTTTTTTCGACGCAAGACCGTCTCTGGCTTGGCTATCGATGCTTCACGTTGACCAGCATGTGTACCTTATACATGTAGGTAGCTGACAGTAGTAGTTTATAGGAAATTAAGCAAATGAAGAAGAAGGAGGCTGATCTCGCCAAATGGGAAAACGAGATAGGTTCAAAGGAGCAGGCGTTCAAAACTGCTGAGGAGGTGCGTTTTTTTTCTGTTACATCATTTTTTGTGTAAACGTTGTTTGTTTCCCCTCATGGGGATGTAACTCTTTTTTTTTTCTTTCGAGCGATGATGGCTTTTTTGCGTTTGAATCGCACTTTTTGTCATTGATACAAACTGAATTCTTAATTCTTTTCTTTGGTCACGTCAACACTTTGATCACCTATCGTATAGCTTTTAATTTGTCATATCTCGAGTGTCCCACAAGAAGCCCGTCGTGCGGCGAAGGAAGAGGCGCAGACGTGGCAAAGGACCAGTCGCTCAAGGGCGTGCTGTGCGATATAAGTGACGTAGTATGGTAAACTTTATTAACCTGACCCATAACCGCTACAGCATGCGCTGCGACTCTTCCTTTGCCTTGTCTGCGTCTCTTCAATCGCCGCGCGACGAGCCTCTTGGGAGACTCCCGTCATATTTCATGTTGATGCGCGCGGTACTGGAATTATCATAAAATGATAGTATCAGTCGCCATTCAGGTATTCGTTTCCCATCCATGTACAGCGTGGCTGGATGACTTCGAAATGATTGGCCACTTATGAATCCTGCGGATATTTTAAGTTGGAACACTTGTATCTACGTCCCATTTCTTCCTCGCTCCCACCACCTGAATATTTTTCGAAGAAGTAAAAAAAGAGAAGTCTTCTTTCGGATGCTAGGGCAAATGTAATCGAAATACTACAGATACTCCCACCTCCCCACCTCCGCTTGCCAAGATTCTCTAACAATTCGCTTCTAACAAATCGCTCATATCTCGGTCTTCTTTCCGTCCAGTAGTTATGCAGTCTGCAAGATATCCTGATTTTAGCTGGCTGTGAAGGCACGAGAAAAACTGAACGCAGTTGCGCAAGGTATGACGACAGATGACAGTGGCAACCATTAGTGTTGAAGAACAATTCAGTTAGTATTAGGTTGAAAAAGGTCTTGTAATCCACAGAATTTCAGTGGAAAAAAGCTCTTTCACCATTTTAAAACAGAATTTACGCCATAATGCATCAGATCTAATGAAAGGGTTAGTACTATGTAAAATACAGATTTGTTGTCGGAGGTGAAGTGTTTTTTCCCAATCCACTGTTTCAAAAATCTTAAACCTTTCATGAGACTAAGAAAGCTGAGGAGAGGTTCAATGTTGCTGTTGTTTTTTTGGTTGTCAATATGAGATCAACCACCATTAGATCAGTCTGCGTATGAGTATAGCTAGCTTTTTCTCACAAAAATTTCTTTTGAAACGCTGTTTAATAGCACATTTTTCACATGTGGCCGTTTGGCACCTATCTCGAATCAGAGTAAAAAATGTGAAATGAGACAAGAGGTGGAAAGTTAAGTATCTTACGTTGAATCTGGTCCTTAAAAACCTGTCGGATCTTCGCTCATTTTACATCCTAGTGAATTTTTACTTATGGCTACTAGCATCATTTGCGGCGTCAAGGTCTACCCCTACAACAATGTTTTGGTAAACAGCTCGCTTTTACTTTCCTTTGATCTGTCTTTATTCAGTGATGTTTATCTCCTTATCAGCTACTTCAAAGATTTGATCTTCAATATCGGACGACCCTCTGCTATGAAACATTCCTACGTCTGCCACTGTCGCCTAAAAGTCATTCCCAATCGCTTTCATTCTTTCTAGTTCGCATCAACTCCTACCAACAATTGTCCTGTCAACTTCATTTTGTGCATAATGCTCATCCCGGACGAAGAATAGGGAACAGAGATGTGGTGAAATGCTAATGACCTCGCATCTGCGAGGTGAATATAGGTCGAGGATTCCTCAACGGCTCGTCGAGGATTTTCGCCTGAGCAGTTGCGCTCTCCATCGCGAGCCGTCTGTGCTCTCCGCGCGTACGTTCACTCTCGGCACTACTCTCGCACAGTAGAGAGCCATGGTCGAGGATTTCCTCGACCGTTATTCACCCTGCGCTGTGTAGCATTATGTCGGTCCATGCTCCGTTAATCCGATTGTGTTGGGACTTCTCATCACTTCCTAGTAGACGGCTAAAAAGTTGCGGTAAGGCAGATGTCGGACTGCGATCAATCGCTAGGGAATGAAGCAATTCAGTATTCCACGCCCAAGAGATTGCTTGTTTCATAAACTAGGCAGGTACTGTCCGATTCAAAGAACTGGTGTCCCCAAGAAGCGATGAGTGTACAGGCTTCTACGGGACATCACAACAAATGGCTCATTGGGGACATTCCTAGGCCCCTTTGGGACAAAACAGTGAGGATGGTTGGATTTTGCCGAAGATCTCAATTTGTCAGCGATCGCAAAGTCTGACACCTGCTTAACGGTCCACATCGCATTTTCCAGTGTCTGCGTTTCA